GTATTCCTATTATTTGTATCTTATCTACTATTGCAGCCTCTGTTTGCTTCAAGTTTGTCGCGCCGTATGTCTTCGTTTATGGTATCACCAACATCATCTCTTTTCATGCACTGGCTTATTGGTATGGGATATATATTTATTTCTCTGGTGTATATATTTATTTCTATACATGCATATTTGGAGAATAATTTTTTTCTTGTCTTTTTCAGATCAATATCCGTATATTACCGTCGGAAATATATGAATATAAAGTGTCAGTGATGGCTCTCTGTGCCGGTCGTTTGCCGTTCCCGAAGCTCACGATTCGCAGTTCGATGTTTAATTCAGCAACACTAGACGAAATTACTTCGGTTTCAATTCCGAATGCTATATTTATATTAGTTAGTCTTTATTTCATTTTTTTCTGAAAGAAATTTGTTTCATTTTTTCTGAAATAATTTCAAGAAAATTAATAATCAGTGTCTAGACATATTCACTTTTGAGAGTATTAAAATATTGGCAAGAAGATTTTTTTTTTCGGAGCTTCTATGAGTTTTTTGAATAACTTTAATCTTTTTGTCGCAAAAAAAATTGCAGTTATCTATTAATGTTCGAAAAGAGCGATCATTGTGTTCCAGTTGTGAGGGAGATGAATTTCGTTTTATTCTTAGTTTATAACTATTAGCAGAATTATTAGCAGTATTTCGTCGCTGAAATAGCGCCCGATTGTGAAACGAATGAATAGTGAATGGATGAATTCGGTAGTGATATTTGCATAGCAGAACGGTTATAATGAATGAGAATGTTGTTTTTCAGCCTCTAGCAAAGGTGTGAAATGTGAAAATATCTAGCTTGCATTGGTTGGTTTTGGTTCGGATTGATGCTAGCGCTACTGCTGCGGCTGGTGATGTCGTATGATGATGATGGAATAATAATAATATCTTTGGATTTCTTAGTGGTGTTTCCTGATTTGGCGATCATCAGTGCTGGGGCTCACCTGATCGAAGGTGAAGGGAATAGACAGTTAGCAAAGATTAAAGTCGTCGATCTTTGATTCTTCTGGTGTTGCATATTAAGATATTCAGCAATAACTATGCATCCTTTGCTTATTCATTATTAAGAATATTCAAATTATAAAGTTTCATAGGACGTTATTGGCAGTGTATTTCCAAGATTAGTGAACAAAGGACCACATGCTTTTATTCAACAATATGCGTAGCCTTACGCGAATATTCCTTGGCTGATTTTCTATCCGTGCAATCCTTGGCAATCTGTTTTCTTCGGTATATTACCTCTACAAAATGGTCCCCCACAGTTCTATAGTTGGATATAATGGACTGGAATTCCCGGTTGCTCGTATTATTGACTCAGTAAATCTATCTACTCCGAAAACTTCAGCCGTAGTTTGAATACATCCAGTGTGCTCGTTTACATCTCTCCATTATTATTATTGCTATTACTATTATTATTTATTATTATTATTACTATCATTATTATTATTATTGTTATTATTATTATTATTATTATTACTATTATTATCATCATTATTACTATTACTATTATTATTATTATTATTACTATTATTATTATCATTATTATTTTATTATTACTATTATCATTATTATTTATTATTATTATGAAACTAACTTGATTGCATTCCTTGCACTTGTCGTCATCTTCAACATCATCAAAATCATTTAACTTTTTAGGTATTTATCTATCTCAGATAGATTTATGAGTGTGAATGCGATGTCATGGATAATATGCAGCCTATTGTTGATTTAATAAATTATTGAAAAGAGTGAAGTGAGAACCAAACGTGGAGCACAGTCGGATTGAAAAGGCGGAGTTGCCGAACTGACCGAACAACGTCGAAGGAAGAAGGAAGGCAGAGGGAGCAAGAGTAACACCCTTTGAGCCACACCACCACCAACACCCCCACCAGCATCACCAGTATCACCACCACTACCACCAGTATCAGCATCGCCACCATCAGCACTATCATCATCTTCAACAAATCATTTACACATATAGTAGGCAATCCGCTGGTAGGGTTTCGGTGCTGGTGGTTCGGCCGAATACCTGATAATAATACTACCAGTTGCGGGTGTGGTGGACCCGTTGAGGCATTCTAGCATTTACGGGAGGGGCAATTCAAAGAATGACTTTCCTCACTGCATCGATACATTCGATATTCCTAGCACTGAGCTTGTTCTGTAGCCTATCGACACATGGAACTGCCGCTTGGCATTATCATAGCAATCATAGTTGTCATGGTTGTGCAGAAGCGCGGGATGAATTGGCTAAGATACGCTTAGAAATAATTAAACGTGAAATTTTGGAAAAGCTCGGTTTGGATGCACCACCACAGGTACGACCGCAGGATGGTTTCCCAACAATTCCACAGGTTGCCAAGTATTTGAAGTACCAATTACGACATGACTCAGCAGCAATTGCCTCTGTGCATACATCATTTCTGGCCGATGAGTTGACGATACCTGAGCGTAAAGCGGAGCGAACGATCGTATTGGCCGAGCGGACATCATCAACACGCTTCAACTTGAACCCGAATCAAGTTCTTGCATACTTCAAGTTTTCTGATGAGCTGATGTCGAAATTGCTGTTGTCCGCTGTACTTAACATATATCTCCGGAAACCAACTAAGCTTCATCCTGACTCGCGTATTGCTGCAGTTCAAGTATTGGTCAAAGAGGTCGTCAAAAATAGCTCGGTATTACACTTTTTATCTTTCTCTTTTTGTCTTGTCCCTTTTTTCGCCCCTTTATCTTTCCCTTGAAAAATGAAAAAAAATCGCTTATTTTGCCGCAACACTTCCATCTACTTTCCTTTTGCCATCTTTCAATTCAACTTTTTTTCTTGATCACCGCATCTTTAGTTAATGACAGGTATGCTTCCTACATATTCACTTATTCACGCTTATTCCTTACATATATACTACAACTCAATAAATGAGATGTCAGCGAAGTTCCTTGATGTTAGGTGTCCTTTGTGCATCCCGAAGATTTCGGGATATCGAGATAATTTGTCTTCTGTAAAAATTCGTGATACATTATTCCCCTTTTTCCTGATTTCTTTCATTTCGGATCGCTCATCTTATCTCATTTCTCAATTTTCGGTAGATCTTTTTGTTCATAATTTCACATAATTTATCGTCTCTCACGTGCCATTCCCCATCTTTGTGCATTTTTCCGCTTTGCTTCACTTATATCTGTTATGGCTAGTTCTCATTACAACTTACGTGGAGTTTTGTATAGGATCTCATGAACGATTGAGATATAGAAAACACTAATTTTTCGAAACATACATTCAGTGCCTTTTTAAAGTTGACACTCACAAATCAAGTTTTCTTTTTTCGAATGTTTCATCCAGAAATGTTTTTGAGAACATATCTATTTTCGAGATTATACTTCCGAGCATTTCTGAGATTATAAGATTATACTTCCCGAAAAAAAAAAACACTATCTTGTTTCTAAAAACTTCAAATTTTTCGCATATCGTTTCAACATGTCTGTTTGCTATTTTGTCTTCCTAAAAATAGAAACGCAACACACTCACCGTATTAGTCTGAAGTAAAAAATTTAGCTATTTGCAAATACCAACTTCAAAAAGGCAGCAAATATGTAATATTTCTCGAGAAACTGAAATTTATTGTGTAATAATGAAATACCGTATCTTGTTGTTGTTTATTCACATTTTGAGAGCTCCGAAATAGTTTTCCGGTAGAACAAGTAATAATTTGGGTCCTGACGTACATTTGCTTTCGAGAAACATTTCTGATTTTGGAGCAGCAAGTTTGCAAAACGGGTTTTGTTCGTCATGGCCGCAGCAACATCGTCGTTGTCATCGTCATCATCTGGGCATATATTGATATTATATATATATATATATATATTGATACGGAGGAATAAAATAGGAGTATGACAGGACGATATGTGTCAGATATGTATCAAGGCCAAGAATCGAGGAACCTCCATACTTCACCTCCGTTAGTTATATCGAGGTCACGTAGTTGTTGTATAGATTGAGGCGTAAGTTGGAGGTTGATAAATCTCAAGGTTATTCTTCTTTCCATCCTTTTTTTAAGAGTCGGGAAAATAGCATCAGTCTTTATTGGAGCAGGATAACCTGTCTTTACTGTAAATACTTTTTTCATCGGAGAAGTAGTTAAAGTAATCTTTCCGAGAGAGAGAGAGAGAGAGAGAGAGAAAAGTTGAGAAAATTAACTGACATATTGGTTTCCCAAATTAGAGTCTGTATGGTAATATTTGACGAACTGTCTAGCATCTTACCGTTCTCTGTACAATTGTACGGGAAAGTGAACAGGTGCAAACTTACAGATGAAACCTATATAACAGAATTTATGGTTTTATTCTGAGAAACTGATTGTAGTAGAAAGAGGGAAAGATATAGAAAATGGAGGAAGTCAGAAAATATAAAAAGTGGAAAGATTGCTCAAAGAATAGGATTTATTCATTGAAAATGTCTTCAGGCACATCATGGTCAATATAAAATGGTTTGAATTAGTTTAAGAAGATTTTCAATAGCGCATCAAGTTAATTTCCAAGTTTAAAACAGAACATATGAAACAACGCTATTTTGTCTTCCTTTTCTAAACAGGTCTTATCTTGCCAACTTCTTATTGGCTTTGTAATCGCAAGGATCACTAATATTAAAGTCTAACTCTTTGTTATTAGGTTATCCTTGTTATGGAAGATTTTGAATGATCAGAAATGAAGGAACATGAATGGACATGTACTGATGCCCTAAAAATTTTTGCACACGTAGAATTGTCATCTGGTTTTCTAAGTTCATGCTGTATTCAAAATTGGAAAGAATGACTGGTGTTTTCTGTTTAACTGTACACATACATCATTCCTTATCATGTACACTACAATTTGTCACATTTGTTTTAAAATTTGCTTTTCTTTGTGATGTTTTCATCACGGCTGTAATTGATGTTGATTTGCATCGCATCTATTCCCACTTGTTTCCCTGATCTGCATCGACTTCGCCAATAACTATGACTTAGATCAAACATCCTAGAATCTTGTTTTATCAGCAGGAGATTTTGGTCCTTTTGGATATTGCTGAATTTTATGCAGTAACGGTTTCGAAAACTGATTAAATCGAGAATTAAGTAACTTATGTGTCGTTTTTCGAGACTGAGATGAATCAAATCGGCATTTTCTGAAGTAGGGAAAGACTATTATGTAATTGTCGGAATGAAAACATTCGAATTTATCCAGAAAGTGTGAGAACCGTTAATATCTACATTCATTGCACATATTTTATTAAACTGCTAGTCTTTCCTTCGTTTTAATTCTTTCTTTCTTTAGTATCTTTTCATCTTTAGAGCTGTTTCATTTTGGTGGAATGAATGATATGCACAAATAATTCGTAGCGTAATGGAAAATTAAAAAGACGAAAAGATGCTAAAGAGAATCCATATATTTTGTTGCATAAGTTTAACGATCTGGTGAGAAATGTGATCGTTGCTTTCTAGTTTTTGTTGAAGAGTAAATTGGTGACAGGTGGGTTTGCGAGAGCATGTTAAAATGCGCCAGCACTCTTCCCTAACCATCCTTCTTATTTTGTCAAATTTGATGATTGGTATGGAATCTTCATAAGCACTATAGGCATCAATTACATTATTCTTTGTCAACCATTCCTTTTAAAATTGAACAGTTCAACTGATTGGTATGGAATCTTCATAAGCACTAAGCACTTTCTTGATTACATTAAGAAAAGTCGTTATAGGAAATTTATTTTTATTTGGGATCATCTTGGAGAAGCCATTTGCACTAAAGATGTGCCTAGGTATTTGTCCTCTCGTAGTTGCTGTTACTTGTTTCACGTCCAAGGTCATCTCTAAAAACTGGCTTTCATCCACCACCAATTCTTATTCTCAGGGATTCAAATTTACTTTCATAGTAATACGTAATTTTTTAGTTGTTTAGGAAAATATCAAAAGTGCCATAGTATTTCACAGCAATACGTAATTCAAAATGAAAGGTTTCATCAGAAACAAAAACCGATCGACCGATCGGAAGGGATTTAAGATTCGAATAAACTACATTTCCTAGTCTACGTGAGGCCCTTTTTGCAATTATTAAGATTGTTTCAAGTATCAGTCATTACTTTCTGGAGACTAATTGAGTTATGTGAGGTTGATAAACTCACGTTTGCAGTTCCTGAAGTTATTTTCTTAAATTATTTCTGCATAAGCAGCACTGCATTATTTAAACCACGTTTCTAAACACATCATGATCTCTCTGTCATTGTACTTTCGATGGATTTTCCTGATTTAAGAGGAAAACGGAAATGGCAAATGATGAATCTGGCAATAGTAGCTTAGACTGCTCCGATTGAAGTTTCTTTTATTGCATTTTATCAGTTCATAATATCGCAGTGAAAGTGATGCTACCTCAACATTACTAATTCTATTACCAATTATCTATTAATTATTTCCATTTCACTATGAAGTAAATTACATTAAACCACAAAATGAGGACAGCACACTGATGTACGTTCCCCACTCCCATCCGCCTATGCAGTACATGATCATTTCTTCTAAACGAAAGTTTCACTTTGCTTCTGATTATGCATGATAGCGCCTTGTGGAATCAAATAAATCTACCAAGAGCTGTACTAACAGTAGCTGTACTGTTTGCTCTCCCACACATAACTGATATAATCGTATTATGCAGCACTCTTGCTACATAACATAGCTTTATCTATAGGCTAAAAAACAACTTATTCTCTTTGATTTTTAAAAACTTGTTAAGTTGGAACTGATTGATTCGTTTTTCCTTTATTTTGATAATAAAGTGACAAATAAATTGGACGGAAGTCAAAATTAACAGATCCTCGCCTTGAATAAATTTAGAGATAAATGATATTCAACTGCAGGCGGTTAGTTTGGATTGTGAAAGCAACTTAAAACGGTAAGAATCTGTGAGATCATTCCGAGAATTACAGACATTTTGGATACATATGGCATAACTGAAGATATATTCTCAGTGAATTATTAGACCGAAAATGTTAAAGTTAACGTTATTGTAGCAATATTTCAAGTAAGTTGAATAAGTTCAGATTGGTGCAGCTCTAGCAGAACGAAAACGTCACATTGATTTGAGTAAAGATGGTTATACACAAATTCCAATACGTGTTGATGACGTGCAGCGGTGGTGGAGTGGCAATGATTTCATGGGCTTATATGTGGAAGCATTTTACAAAGGCGAAAATTTGGCTCTCTATCCACAGCACGATTCCAAAAACGTTCGTACTTCTTAGTTGTTGCAGTTAGAAATGAATTGTTGCAAGAACCACTACCTCTATCCTGTTACAGATAATGTATCTCGAACTAACAACTATCGAGGAATGGGGTCGTCGTAAACGTAGCTATCAGGAAGTGTGTACGAAAGAGATGAACGAACCATCCTGCTGCTTATATAGCTTAGTTGTGGATTTCGAAGCTGCCGGTTGGGATTTTGTCATCGCTCCCAAATTGTACGATGCGCATATGTGTAGCGGGGAATGCCGTCTTCACCATGTAGGCTGTCTCATTTTGCTATCAGTTAGATTGTCTTTCTGTAGATAATCTATAATTTCAACCTTTTATCGATGTATTTCAATTCCCTAAGTCTAAAATCTCCATGAGGCTCTTCAATTAGAATTTTTTCAGGCTGGTCGTTCGGCTCATAGCAAAATCACTTCATCGACGAAAAAAAACGCCTTGAGTGGCTGTTGCCATCCAACAGAGTATGACCCGATAACGCTTGTCTACATGACTCAAGAAAAGGAGCTGAAGATCCGCGAAGTGCCAGGTATGATCGCCCGGCGATGCGCCTGTGCTTGATTTCAAGCAGCGACGAGACTGAGCGAACTCAAGGTGTCGGGAGCCACGTACTGAAGAAGGGGACAATCATGGAATCATGGTCAACAGCACCACTCTGCAGCACCGAAACACCGTTACTGTAATTCCCCTATGCATCTGCTGCTGCTGCTGCTGCACATGCAGAATCCCACGAGCGCCAAGCTCCTCCCTTGTACAGGCCAGCAAAATAGGGTTAAGGAAGGGGGCCTGAAGGATATAATCAAATTGGGGGATATTTGGCTGACATCTTGAACGCTCATTTTGAATTTGCTTGTTATTGTTAGGTATTTAATTATCAACCATCACACCACCACCACACTCCCGTTACCGCACCAACTAGCGATCATTACTGCATGAATATGGTTGGTTATTCAATAAAAATGATTGCGAATCGATATTTGCACCACAGAAATACATATCCGTATTTTTATGAATTTCAAAAATCCAGGCTAGAAGTGCTGACGATTTCAATAAAGCTGAAAGTTAAAAGTTATTTTTACACCCTGCATTTTATATGCATGAACTTCTCCGCAAAACTAACTGAATAATCCATCCATGCTCCACACGTAAATATTACCATCTTCTTTTGATACCAACAAGGACTACCACCATATAGTCATACATTCATATAGATATATCAATGTATTTTTATCGAACTGTATCCGCAGATAGCATTCCCTTTTCACTTTCAATCATTTTCGTTCTCGATCACAGTCACTGGGATAAGCAGGAACAAGTTTGACTGCTTATCCTGTGACTAATCAATAAATGGAGGTAATATTATACATTGAGGACAACGAGATATTTAACGACAGAAACAATATGTATATATATATATAATATTTGAGATTTAAAAAAATTTCTACAACAAACTGGAACAAATGTAGCAATAAAAAAGACGAACAAGAGCAAGAAAGATATAAACAAAACGAGAGTGATGAAATAGGCATAAGTAATCAGCTGACGGAATGAATAAGACGATAAGGCTCTCTGTTTAGGATACGATGTTGACCAATCGATGCAAAAATCCAATCCGCTTTAATTACCTCTTTTTTTATATCCAATTCAAATCTGAAGAAAATCCATGCAAAATGGAACTCTTGTTATGCTCTTTTTTCATTACCCTATGAGAAATCTGCTCCTAAATTTTGCAATTACTTTTTTTGCATTACTACGCATTTGTAGACAAAAAATATTATCAAGTATACTATTTCCCTATTGAACATACAATAAGTATATTTGCAGAACAGAGAGAATTTACACAATTTCTAAGTAGTTTATTTCATTGTTGATTCACTCTGTTATTAGTTTATTTATAAGCCTTGAGCTGTAGTCATATGTCAAAACCTCAATAAGTATAGCATGTTTTGATGCAAAATAAAACCGGTCCATGTTTCTTCTCAGTTGGTAGTATTACAACAAGTAACAAATGGCACTTGATTTCTACTGATCGCTTTGAAACTATTTTTCTAAAACGACCAACAACAAACCTTCGAGCAGCATCACGATTAAAGCAATCTGGGGCAAATATGATGTAACTGCGTTCGGAGTGAAGCTCCCAGACATGTGATACAGTCTTCCCACCGCTCAATTCAACGATCTCCAAAAAAACATCTGAAAATTAGGTGCAAAGGATTATTTTAGTAAAATATAAAGTTCCGACAGCATGTGTCCTCTTTAACTGCAAATGAAAATCATAGTCGTTAATATTCATGCTTTATTATACCGACTTCACAGTACTCAAAGAGTGATACTTCTTGGTTGAGCATCACACTTACCCACTTTAAGAACATCAAAAACCCTTCCAGTGTCAAGAACGCATCATAGGTTCATGATCTCAAATTGCTTCTTTCTTAAATGAGAAACAATCAAAACTATTCTGAGAAACAATGGTAACAGATCATATATCCAAAAGTCATCCCACCGTCTATTTCAAAACCACCATTCAAGTGCATAACCTCTTGCTATCAGTTGCGTATTAAAGAAAGTTTGAGGGACATAAAATATATGCCCATCGAATAAATTGCTCGGATCAGTAATGGCACGCTGAGCGGTTACGCTTACCACAGTTTCATCTATTTTCAATAAAATTTCGAAACCATCCTGAAAATAACAATTCGAAGTTCGTTTACGGACTTAATCATGACTTTTTTCTAAACTTTACAAATCCCAAACTTCGCAATTAGAAAGCAAAACGATTATTATCCATATGAAAAAAAGTTTTTACTGACCGTGGGTAGAACACTTTTTTGGTTGAGACAGTTCTCTAACCACGAATACGACACAATCGTGCAGTGATTAACCAGTGCGTAAATTAATTTCACTGTCCACAATTCACAAACTAGACCATCTGCAAAATCTAAAACCTATTAGTTTGAAATGTCACTATTCACTCCATGTAATATAAGCAAATTTTAAGCGTACTATGTAAACAGGCGGTTTAAATTTCAATTATTCACCGCTAAGAAATCTAAATTCTCATCTACTTAAAAGATGCAAGCTTACCGGTATTGAAAATAATCAGATATGTACACTTTCGATTTATCGATGTGGAAAGCTTGAAAGAAGAGAAATTATCCAAGAATTTATGTAGCAAAAACTGAAAAATCTGTATTTATAAATGAATACTTTTGTTCAAATATATTGATGAACAATAATAATATGTCTCCTCACGTGATCACTGAGTTTCGATGCTCCAGATACCATCATTGAATGACACATTTCATTATCTTCTTTATTATATTGTTTATCCTTTAGAAATGAAACAGTGCGTTGTTCAGTAGTAAGATCTTTACTCTGTTGCACATCGTTGTGGCAGCAATCAGTAGTATAAAAAGTTTTTGATGGAACTGCAATATCCATTTCTCCGTCACTCTCAAGAACTAAATCAATACCATTTTTCGAAGGACCTTAAAATACAAAAAAAAGTCATACTTTATGGAGCATCGATTACTTTGAATTTGTTTAAAATTCACTGAACTGATAAAGGACTTACTGTTCGCACTACGACTTTCTTCTTCGGCATTTATCCCACATATTGTATTGACCAATTCTTCCCGACCCTGAAACTATATGAATTAATGGAGGACTAAAGCAATAACATTTTTTGCAATTTAGACATACTTTAAATTACTAACTAGATGTAGAAAGTCCGGTATCCATGGCATACATTTGATAAGCACCTCAATACGTGATTGATTTTCGCTTTCTTCTGCAATAGCTGTTTTTGCACATCAGTTCTATATAAATTATTCAATGCTACTGATTTTGCTACCACTTTTCAAGTTATTTATTAGTTGTATAAAGTTTATATAAAGTCCGCATTTCAAAATGATTTATGCAATACGGATTGAAAAGTCGTAATATCCGAAATAACTTACCAAACACAGAATTAACAATCGCTTCTATTTGGTCCAAGGCATCTGACCTGTCTGCACTATTGTCTTTCTGAATCTTCTGATCATGCATTGCCGACGCATTAAAATTTAATCCTTCTATATACAACGGCGAACACATAACATCTTCTATACTGATCTGCTGACTTCTGTGCTGTATTTCTTTTTTGTCCGTTTGAATGCCAACATTTTCAATATTCTTTTCACCACTGCTGAATTTCCCAGAATTCATGTTGAGTTGTTTAAACAAGGACTTAGTAGCACTGCGACCCATAACAAGACCTTCAGTGCCGCAAGAAGTGTGGTCAATTGCTGATATTCCCGGAAAGGTATTCATGCCAATTCCTGTTACCAAATTTGAATAATCTGTCTCATCAATCCGTTGCATTTTCACCGGTCTATGTTGAGGATGAGTGATACGGCGCTTCGCACTTTTCGATTCCTTTTTTAGCAGCTGTAAAATAATGTATCTCTTTTATGTCAAAAGTGAAATAGACATAAATATTGTAAAATGGTAGTTTACAATACCATAGATATTAAGAAATATAATTATTGTGTTCGAAATTTTAAAGCAATGATTTCTATATAAATAACCTTTCGCGACTGATTTGGAAGAAGTTCTAACGAGGAAGTTTCAACCGCCTGTGTTATCGGAACCTGCAAATACTTATTTGAAAACAACCTTGGACAATCAACCGTTTTTTATAAAAACAGAAACTCAATATAAAGATTTCATCATTGCTATTTAATTCTTTTTCCTTGTTGATTTTTCACCTTCTTGACGAAGAAACCGATTGCAAGTGTGAAAACAAAATTCAATCACAAGCACACTTTCAAATTGGCATGAACTGACATTTTCAACTAATTAAACTACGGCTGGCAAAACAAAGAACGCAAACCTGACTTTCAATAAAATCATTTTCTTTCGCAAAACCAGTAGCTAAAATATCTTTTTTGAATGCCTTGGCCAGCGGTAAATATTTCTCAAGTAAAGACGATAGCAATGGACAGCTTGCACAACTTCTGAAATTCCATTTTGAATATTTTTTATAAATCTCTGGCATTTTGAACTTTTAATACATTTATAGGAATATATCTCGTGAGGTACGGTAAATAATGTGGAAAAAATAAAAAGCAATGAAAACCAAACCTTTTATTCAACGACATATTGCAGATAGGACATCGCATCACTGAAAGCCTTTTGAAACACTCAGACAGACAAACTCTATAAGGGACTAAATTTTAATTACTATCCAAAAAAATTAACCTGAAAACATTGTACTTTAACAATTTGATTTTCGTTTGTTCTAATTGCTCCCCATGTTTTGAGCATTATCCCATACTTCTACAAACATGATAGAATGATGATGACTTATGTCTGGGTCTATTTACACCCTTCGATACAAACAACGGCACCTTGACTAAAAGGAACAACACATCCGAAAAAGATGCACAAAGAGTACGAAAACGAATAACCTGCAGAAGGCATGATTGCAAGTGGTCATAATTGGATCACGTAAAGTTGAACAGCTGAAAATAAAGCGAATATGAACATTATAGAGAAAGATCATGAGCTGTGAAGTGAAAAAATTTTTTTCCGATACTTAAACATCTTTTACAAAGAATGAAAAAAAAAGAAATTTACAAAGAAACTTTTTTTTCTTTACAAAGAAATTACAAAGAATTATAATTAAATTCGTTTGTAACGGAATTCAAAATTTCAAAAAAGTAACCATATGCCACAGCGTAGAATCATTTTGATACTTTCGACTTGATTCTTAATTTTCTGGAAGTTGTTTTTGTGCTCGCTCCGATTCTCCGATAAAGCGAACATTTTTCTAAATTCCGAATTAACTTTACCTTTTTACTTAGCCCTTTGAATGCCTCAATTCTTACATTTGCAACACACAATACATGATATGACTTACAACTCGTTACGACCTAAAGTTCGTTTTGAAAAAATGTGCAATTCTCGATGTTGATTGCTTCCTTTTCTTTCAGTTCCATCAAATAGCTATGACTCACAGACCTCCGGTTTGAAATCAACCTCCTTCAAGTCATCACTAATGCATATTGCAGGGATAGTTCATTAATATTCCTCAATCTCATGCTCACTTCGATATTACGTGAGACTTACTAACAGAGTTAAAGTGGCTGCGTGACTCTATGTCTGCACCCTGCATATCCTACCTCTATACGTGCCTTAAACCAATACTTCACTTACAGCAAAATAAATTGAACCGCACGAACGCACGCCATACCTTCATGCCGCCTTTTACCAATTTCAAATTTAAAAATTTAGATTGCATCTGACGATAATTTTTCATGCTGGATACTGTGAGTGACTGCCCTGAGGGTTCTAATAAAATGGCGGATTTGATCCGCTTTATCCATTCCATCTATTCACTCGCACTTTGTGCCACAATGGGACTCTAAAATTAGGCCAAAAGAACACCTCGATTCTCGAAGAAGTAATGGGTCCTATGATTTCGGATACTGCGGATATTATCTTGATGATCTTCTTATTGGCAAAAATAAAAAGGAGTACCAAAAGAATCTTGAAGCCTTCTTAACGTAAGTTTTGAATCCTAGCTTCTACAGATTTCGAATAGCCACGATCAACATGCCCGCATCAATCAATGTTTCTGCTTCTTGTAACTTTCAATTTTTTCATCATTAGTTGATGAAAAAGTATGCTATAGATTTCAAATAATTGTAACTAAATTCTTCTAACGTGCTGAATCTTTGCTTAGGAATTTAATAAGAAACATTTTCTATATTCGACTAACTGTGGAATTATTGTCACGAAATGAATGATGCATAAGACAAAATCTTACTTGATCGTTCAGTTTTTAAAACGTTTATTTTTCGACATGTAGTTAAATAATCTCGTAAAGAAACTGAACCCTTTTCTGTAATGGGCTGAAAGCGTTTTGCGTTTATGTGCTTTATTACATATTTCTTAGTAATGGTAGTCTCGCTGACATTCAAGAAGTTATAATAGCAGCCCGGAGCTTCTTTCAACTAAAACTTTTCCTCATAACAAAAGGAAAAATTCTTAGTGAAACTTCAAGTGAATTTTTTACAGCCGCTGTTCACCAACTTTTACGTTGCCAATTTATGAAATTGCGGAACGATCAAGGGATATTGACGTTGAATTGTTAAACAACTTTTCGTATAATTATAAAAAAATAATCTGCAGTAATTGTTTTTTTTTAATTGCTTACTGGCAGCTTTTAATGAATATGCCTCTATATTTTTCATCTTCAAAACTTTCATCTACTTCGCAAAACTTTTTGGATTGCATTGTACATTTGTTAACAGTTTCTATGCCAAAGCAATTTCTCTTACTTTTCTTTACTTTATAATTCAATTTAAACCCAAATTAAAGGAACTACTCGAACACGCTTTTTGTCAAAGTAAAAGATGAGAAGTACTCGTCAAAATGCTGTATAACATTCATTCAAGAATATTTTCTAATATGGAACAACGAAGCGCAAAACAATGCCAAGCTGTTTGATCAAAATCAAAACCGATATTTTACTTACACGCCACATGTGATCGATCTCCAATCATCATAGCTACAAATGATTCTAATTATGATACTGAGGCGGTTAGTTTCATTCGCTTCCTGTCGAAAATAAAGGTGCTATCCTCTGCAGAGAGGAATCACAATAATGTTCGTCATGAAAACGTTCTACAATATGATCTTTTTTTTTTACCAATAATAAATAATCGAAGGGAATGTTCCTATCCATCTTTTAACTGAATTCAGCTCTGGTGAACTGTTCTTGACTATCCTTTTGAAATTACGAATACGACTTAATATTATGACACTACTACTGGTTCCAATGTTTTAGTTAGGCTGGTTGCGAATCAAGCAGATAATCAATTCAGGCTTGTTATTTTTCAATTTTTTATGCAAAGTTACAAGAAGATAATACCATGCCAAAATGGTGTATATTTTTTCTCTCTGTAAAAATCGTAATTAAAACGCGAGGTAATGGTAGTGTTACTACTATCAATAAGAAGTGAAACATCAGTGCTTTACATGACTCATCCATTTTTAGGCTGAATAGTTACTCAGTAATGGTTCAAACGGAACTGACTAGTGAATAAATCATCCTTATTCTGACCAATGAATAAATACTTCAGCGCGTATTGAACGTCCGTCCACTCGATTGAAATGGTTTCATTTTTCTCGATGGATTCTCGATGGAGTGGATGTTACACTGTCCCATTGTGTGACCTGCAATAGTTTCATTCCTTTCTCATGCACATATAAGTTCGTTTTTTTTTCTTTGTTATCGGGTTGAATTTGTTTTCTCTCTATCTTTCCATCCCAATCGCATTTATTCGCATAATCCTCTCTTAATTTCAGAAACTGTTCTTAATCCATCGCTCCAGCAAATCAAGGACAGGTGAGAGGGCCAGCGGTAGTTATAAAAGATGTCAAGAAGACTAAATTTGAAAGAGTACTGTATATGTACAGCTTCTCTTCAAATTTAATTTTCCCGATATCCTTTTATACTAAATCAAATTAAGTAGAAAGTTTGTAACGAATCCTAAAACTCGCATTACCAAATAATTTAGAGAATTAAACGAGCCTTAAAAATTTATGTCAAAAGAATAATTGCAAAATGACTACAAAATATTTTACAGATGCGAGTTACGTACTACTATGATTTGCTAACATTTGATGTGATATTACTAAACTTCTTTTAAAGATACAGCGTTTCGCTGGTCGATTACCACTCAAACTAATAGGTTGTCATTGTGAGATGATTTTCGGCGACGTGGACTTATAGCGAAAGACCTTAGTGGTAAATTAATCTTATAGATAACCAGATTCGCTGTGAAGCAAAATCCACATAATAATTTGTAGTACTTCTGTTTCTAAAATTTTAATGATTGATAATAGGAACTTTGCATTTCGAAGTTTAGTTAGGACAACGACACATCTCCTCTACATGTAATTTCTGCTCTCTTTCGATTGCTTGAATTCAGCGTAATTAAGTTGGGCACCTAAGGCGCAAACAATAGCTACAATAGAGCCTCACCGACTTTTATTATATGAGATAAATAAAATGAATAGGACTCGATCAATATTAAATCATTGTACCCAATTTCTCTTTATGTTCCTTTATGGTACAATATTTCGACGATGTAAATGAGATCGCTCTCTCTTCTCTCATTGTTTCATTCTGTTATTGCTCTGATTTATTTTGATAACGTTTGAAAAGTGCACGATGTCAAAAATTTCCCCCACGATGTCAAAAATTTCCCCCTTTATCTTTCCTTACAATATCGAGAGCAGAAAAACCTAAAAAAGTCAGTTTCTGGGATAGAATTCTGAAGATGAGACTGGTAAATCGCACTGAAATATCCTCAAAATATATGTGAACAAGTGATAACTGGCTGTAAATCAAATGCCATCGACGGTCTTTGGATGTCCCCATATGCACCACTTACATATTATGCATAAAGCTTCTATACTGTAAGGAGAAATCTATACTTTTATACCGCAACAGAATATTCTCTTCGCATCCGAATTCCTCATATGGATGAGAATTGATATCGATAAAAAATGAAAAACTGTCATGATATATCTTATTTTCTATCATTTCCTATCTTGCTTGATCGTTACGTATCCCAACTGAGTAGTGCAATGCATTTCTCCTTTATTGTAATTCGGTTGAGCAGGGATAGTACGGTTTCAAGTTCATATAATGAGTTAGTCCTTGTTGATAAATCAATAACAATTGGTAGCAGTTGTCTTTTAATAATTCATTATTTCAAAATTGAGATGATTTTCGGCGATATGGACTTATAGCGAAAGACTTTAGTGATAAATTAATCTTACAGATAACCAGATTCCTGTTAAGCAAAATCCAAATAATATGTAGTACTTCTGCTTCCAAAATTTTAATGATTGGTAATAGGAATTTTGCATTTCGAAGTTTAGTTAGGACAACGACACATCTCTACATATAATTTCCGCTCCCTTCTGACTGTTTGAATTCTGCATAATTAAGTTGGATATCTAACTCACTAGGCACAGACAATAGCAACATAGAGCCTCACCGACGTTCGTAAAGAGGGTGAACGAATGGCTGGCTGGCATGTTAAAAAACATAAACGATAAATAGTGTGATGGCATTTGCACAACATCCAACTAAATGCTATAAATTATTCTTCCCCAATTCTCTTCACTGTCATCACACACACACACACACACACACACACATACACACACGCACACACATATACATATATACATACACACAGACACACATACGCATAGATGTACATACACACACAGACACACATACACATGGATAGACGATCATAATAATCAGATTGATAATCATCATTGCCTTCTGTGAGAAATGATGAAAATTTGCTGCGCCATTCATTTTTATGATTCAATTTGTCAGCTGAAAGGGTAAATTGCTTGCATTGTAATAGCGAAAGTTATATTTAATTTTTCCTTTTTGCTCTTTTTCCCTCTTCTTCTACTTATACTTCTCGTCCGAGTTCATCCCATAACTGTTTACAGGAAGCTTAGAAAAAACCGATACATGCAAGTTTAAATTGGAATAAGCGAAGAGCAAGAAGGCCCTTTTAACTTGGCCGTCTCTGTAAGAGCAGTCTTCACTGTTTAATTTCCTCTTTTTTGCAGGAGAATTCTGGATATAAGCAATATAAAGTAATTGTAATATCACTTGATGCTCGTTCGGTTCATAGGCCGGGAGAAATCTCCTTTCTTTCGGATCATTACTCAGGAATTTATTGTGAGAGGGAATAATATATTTGTTTCATTCTCCGAAGGGTTTCTCTTATCTTTGAAAGTATCGGTTAATAAATCAGTACTGATTGGACCAATTAGTTTGTTTGAGAATTATCTTTCACTTTGAAATTCAGTGAAACGTTGGAACTTGTTATCAGTTACGTCCTTCAGCGATAGTTTGTCATTGTCAACTTTAGTGATCTTTGGTTTTATCAGAGAACCTTTAATGTTAACTGTATGATGATGTGAAAGAGAGTCCGCCCAAAGCTTATCAGCGACCAAAATTCAACCATCTAGTAATACAAATACCGGTACCTTTTTGATTACACGCATTCTCTTCCTTCTGTCAGACATTAAATGTTTCATCGAGTTGGTTTCGGAAATCATCAAAATTTTCAACAAAATGTTATTGTTAGTCCAATGGAGTCATTTCTATGTCGGTGGCTGAAGAGGAGCTTCTTATAAAGCTTTCTTGGCTCATTTTCTTATCCCTCGTTTAAAATGCCGATTCCAACTTTATCTTTTCATACTCTCTTCTAACGCCAAGGGACATCTTTCTCGTTGAGTTTTTTTGTGTTTGGGAGCTTTAGACTTAAATGCTGGCCTTTCTTGTTCTGTCGTCAGTCTTTTTTCCGATTATAATAATTCCCGTAGGAAGCAAAGAGAGAAAGAAAGAGGGAAAGAGAGATTTTTCAAATGTTGAATTAAAAATGCTCTTTAAAACTTCGTGAATGAAGCAAACAAGGAATGAAAGGACTGGAGATGAGATGGTTAAGCAATACACACTCATTCATATCATCGATCCGTTATTGATGATGAGAATGCTGCTTGTTATACTACTTTTGTGTATATAAATGCTAAAGCGCTGTGTTGATGCTCATGTCAGATTTGACCTCCACCTCGACTTTCTGGTTATGTTCAGTTCGATAAAGGAATTGGAAAAGCTTCCAGCATCGGATCAACTGTTGTTCTTACCAAACCTGTTAATGATGGACTGATCAAACTCTTGACCGGTGTAATAGTAAACCCCACTGATGATGAATTTTGTTAAATTGATTGGTATTAACAATTCGACATTTCGCTAGCAGATTTGGTAAAATTGGATGACGGGATTTGATAATAGTTTTAATAAATTCAATAATAGATTTATTTGTAGATACCATACACGCTTGATTGATTCTTCCAAAGTTAATAACAACGATGTCGGATGCTCAGATCAAATTTACTATTTCTCAAACATGCGATGTAAAAGAGAAAGAGGAGTGGTTTGTCCCTCCAGCACCTATTCTTGCTGGTACGGTTTATATTTTCCTTTTTTCATTTTAATTCTCCTGCTGTATAAAATTGTTTACATCTCTTACTGCTGTTGCTGGTTACTTAAATCGAACTATCACGAAATGAAGAATTCTACTACAATAAATCATTTCACTGGTAGTTGGATTGGCTTTTTTTCCAAATCCACAAAAATCTATTTGTTGAAGAAGTGGTCATTGTCTTACTGAAAAACTTATGAGTTTACCAATATGTTACCATTATCGATAGACGGAAACAAACACTTATTTCAACCATAGTTATCACATTCTTCTTCCTCCTGTGACCTCTGAAGTGATATTTAAAAAGATTGGATAGACACACGGTGGATTACAAGCAGCAGCTATGAAAACGTGGAAGATAATGAAGAAAAGACGGAGGAAAGGAGAAAGACTAAGAAGCGAAACAATGATATTTCTCACATATGATTTATATATTGCACGAAATATATTCTCTACCCCCTTTCAAACCTTCAGGTCATTATATTCCGATGACAAAGTATGATGAGTGATCGCTTTTGATTTGTCATTTCTTGAAGTGTTGATAATCTTTATAGATCATAATTTTGATATAATAATCTAATCATTTCTCTGGTGATTACTTCATGCACATAATGTATTTTTTAAGAAGTCTAATTTTGAATTTCTTTTCACTGCCTTTACACATTACTTTCTACCACTTATTCATTTGATATTTTAGGTGCTCATGTCAGAGGGATTGATTCTTATAGGGAAATGTATAGTAACTCCATCAACAATGCCGATGAATTTTGGAAAACGGTAGCTAAAGAACTTTATTTCGAGAAGAAATCCGATAAGGTCGATTGTTTAACTCTCTTTTTTCCTGGACACTTATTCATGCGTTTTAAAACTATGCATTAGATGGAGGTGTTTTCCACACTAACCTCTTTGATTTATTTTGTGATACTGCAAAAAATGTGGAATGGAGCGGAGAATAATCACCGTTTGATTTTTTAACACCAAAAAAGTGTCATTTCCTTTATTGCGTTTAATTTTTAAGTTTTCTTTATTTTTTTGGAGATGTAAAAAAATTTGACGTTACTGGGTTATGCTTTTCAATTTTTTGGATATTCCGGACAAGGGAACTATTTTTTTTGGCTTATCAGTATGTAGACATTTCAGGGTTTTACTACGTCATGAAAAATATCGCTGTAAATGATTATTTAGGGACTGGAGTGGAATTTCGATTACCGTAAGGGAGATGTTTATGTACATTTCATGGAAGGAGCGCGAACAAACATTGCATACAATTGCTTGGAACAAAACATTAGCAAAGGCAAGTCTGTGTAAAACTAAAATTAAGAGAAAGTATTTAGATTTTTTGAATGATTGTTTACTTATGAGGTATGAATATTTCACTGTAATTTTGAAATGATTTTAAAAAAGTAGGGAAATTGAAAAATTGCTATAAAAAAACTGTATTTTCATAGTTTTTTTTTTCAAATCAAGATTTAAGGATATGGTTCTCGTACAGCACTGTTGTGGGAAGGTAATGAGCCCGGTGATTGTTGTTCTGTTACATTCCAAGATCTTTTCGACAAAGTAGTTACTTTTTCTGCTGTTTTGCGATCTCATGGAGTTAAAAAGGTTTATTACGCATTTTTTAGCTTTTATATACAATTTTAATCATGTCATGCAATAACATATGACCTTATGTCTCATTTTTATCAAGAAGTATATTGAAGACAGCCGATATTGTTTTTGACCTTGAGTACTATAATTATTAATTTAGGGCGATGTTGTGGTGATTTATTTACCGATGATACTTGAATTACCGATAGCAATGCTGTCGTGTGCTAGAATCGGTGCTGTTCACGCGGTAGTGTTTGCTGGATTTAGCTCTGATGCTTTGGCAGCTCGAATATGCCAAACAAAAGCCCGCATCCTGGTCACGGCTGATGGATATTATCGGGGCAAGAAGTTTGTAACACTGAAAATGATAGCTGATAATGCTGTCGTTCAATGCAATATTTCGGTAAGTGTATTTTAATGGTTCGTTTACTATATGCAATGCATTCGAAAGCAGTTTGAGCTTATTAATTGAGCTAAAAGTGATGTTGATAGATTTCGATATCCATTATCGTCTCAGTGTATTTATAAATCCATTTTAGTTGATTATTTGATGGTGTTAATATTCATAGCGTGTTTTAGGGTAAACCGGTGGAAAGGGTCATCATTGTACAACATTTGGAACGTGTCCGTAATCCGAACGGTACTGATTCTGTCAACGTAAATTTAACTTTATTCGTTTTTTTTTCTTTCTGAAATGTATTTTTGTTATCAAATGACCTTTATGCTTTATTTCTTGATATTTTAGTATGTATTTTTCTAAGTTTCAATGTGTTTGCGTAAATGAAATCTTCAGTTTTATTGATTTCTTATTTACTGTTCCCGAAAACATTTTAGACCTTTCCTAATGAGTAATTACTTTAAAATATTTCCACTTAAAAGAGGTCGTGGGTTATGAATTCGTAACCTTATTGTTATAATATTGCATTATCAGGTGAAATTAGATCCAAAACGGGATGTTATCTGGAATGATGAAATGGAACGATGCAAAGGAATAAATTCTGAAATCGAGTGGAACGATGCAGAAGATCCTCTCTTTATTCTTTACACATCCGGTTCAACAGGTCAACCAAAAGGAATCGTGCATACTACCGCTGGTTATATGATATATACCTATGCCACTGTCAAATATGTTTTTGATGCTAATCCAGAAAAGGACATATACTGGTGAAGTCTAAGATTTGTGTTTTCTATATAAATTGAGTTGAAATGGAAGAATAGTTAATACACAATATTTGATGGTTTATCGTTAGAAGTATCTTACCAGTCTTAAAATTATAAGGAAAAGTAGGATTTATTGGTAATTTTTGTCCTATTGCCTAATAATTCTGATTTCTGTATGCAGAAACGTCAAGTAAAAGTGAAATAAAAGAAATCAAGGTCTTGCATAATAATCAGATTGGGGAACTGGGATTATTTCAAAAGTTAACAATCAAGAAAAAACGGAAGATATGCCTTCAAAATACGCTTGAAAAGATCACCTTTAACTTTTATTGAAATATATTTTCCTATTATATATTTGCAGGTGCACAGCTGATTGCGGCTGGATTACTGGGCACTCCTATCTCGTGTACGGACCGCTTCTTAATGGTTTAACATGTATTATGTATGAGGGCGTACCGAGTTATCCAACTCCGTCACGAATGTGGCAAATTGTAGAGAAGTACAGAGTAAGATTTAATTAATTATTGGTTAATGCATTTGCTGTTGTTCGAATTCTGTTATTGTTTTATATTTCATACCACGCTGCAGCTGTTGAATATACTTCCAGATACGGTACGCACAGTCATCAATAGAATAAATAAAACAATATTAAAAACTGTTTCTACTTAAATGCATTTTACAGTTGGTTTAGTTTGTGCTTGATGTGAGATTTTTTTAGGTTACCACCTTATATACTGCACCAACAGCAGTGCGTTCTTTGATGGCTTTTGGTGATGAGTATGTTACATCGCACGATCGTTCATCGTTGCGTTTACTGGGATCAGTTGGTGAACCAATTAATCCGACAGCATGGAAATGGTTGTACAAGGTATTCAAACTTGAGTAATTTTGCTGACTTAAATGTGATAAAAATTTTCTTGCGATAAAACTTGAGTAATTTCGCTGACTTAAATTTTCTTGCGATAAAGCAAGAGACAAATTCCAGGTTGTTGGCGAAAATCGCTGTGTCGTCATCGACACTTACTGGCAGACAGAAACAGGAGGACATATGATTGCACCTTTACCGGCAGCAATTCCCTCTAAACCTGGTAGCGCAACGCTCCCTTTCTTTGGCGTAGAACCGGTCATTATTGGTGAAGATGGTCGAGAAGTCGAAGGAACTGGTAAAGGAACTTTGGTGACTGTTTCATTTCTATTTATATAGCATAGCCAGTTTTACATGTTGTAATACAAATCACATAATTAATATTATATTAAAATTAAAGTTCTTTTCCCATTCAGTGAAGTTCAGTAAGCTGTCGCCTCTCAAATCTTATTTAGCAGAAAAGCTCTTTCAGTTAAAATGCAAATGGTACCGCAGGAAAAACAGATCTTGCACAGTTTTGCTGGGTATCAGCGTAGTCATATCCAAATTTGAGTTCTTTTAGTTTAGGTGAAAAAAGCTTCAGTTTATGAATATTATTTATTTGTTACTGTTGCAGTGTTTCAAGCGAGCTTGGCCAGGTATAAGCAGAAGTATTTTGGGTGATCACGGCCGATTTATAAGCACATACTTTTCGCCATACCCGGGGTTCTTTTTCACCGGTGACGGAGCGCGTCGAGATGCTGATGGTTACTACTGGATTACAGGTGTAACTTGGCAACTATTGTAGCATTGGCGGAAATTTGAAATTGATTTAGTTAACGTTTTATATTATAGGACGGATCGATGATCTCATGAATGTGTCTGGTCATTTACTATCTACTGCTGAAATTGAATCTGCCTTAGTTTCGGACAACGATATAGTGGAAGCAGCTGTAGTTGCAGCGCCGCATGACATCAAAGGCAGCTTTCCATATGCATTCGTCACATTACGATTGGTACTGTTTACTGTATATTTCTTCCTGAACATCTTTAATTTTGGAAAATAGTGAAAACGGACAGTGCTGCAGTTCTTTTCAACTTCTTTCCTCCCACATCAAGTAGCCACGTTCTATTTGATTTTTTTAGGGTGTCGAACTTACGGACAAAAAAATTGAGGATCTGAAACTTCTGGTGCGAAAAAAAATTGGTGCGATTGCAGTACCAGACGTTATACAAGTAGCTCCGGGACTACCCAAAACACGATCAGGTGAGTCACAAATAATTTATATCTGCTCAGATATAAATTATTTTTTAGGAGTGGAAGCTGTCGAGCATGGTAAGCAAGCTTTGTTCTTGCCTCATCATTAGTTCTATCTAGTTCCGTCCTTTATTTGCTGATGAGATGAAATAGGAGGAAAAATCTTTGCTGTTTTATCCGCTTAAATGATCTTAGATTGGTCTACTAGTTAGGCTTTTTAGATTTGATAGTTTATGTTTTAAGGGAAGGTAACACGTCGCATATTACGGAAAATTGCTGAAGGTGATAAAGCTGTGGATTTGGGTGACACTACTACACTTATTGATGAAACAGTTATTGCTCATTTGTGGAATGGTCGATCAGAAACACGGACTGGTTGAGAAACACACTTACATCAATTCGATAACATTTCAAACTTTCTGTATTGTTTATTACATTATAAGATTATATAAGCTTACTGTGTGTTTCAACATCGTCCATTATTTTTATAACATTAAACTTCCTTTTAACCATTTAATGTAATTTCGTAGTCCTTCTTTCATCAATTATTTAAACTTTTTTATCTTCTCTCTCCGCCGTTGGCTTCCAGTCACATCGTCATTGAGTGTGTTCCCAATTCCGAAATTTATATTTTCATTCGAGTAGCTTTCGCCGATATTAGCAGTTTTGTTGTGTGGTATTTCTGGTTTGTATTTTGGGATCCATGACTCGCATTCCAATAAACTGGCACTTATTCTGATTCATGCAGTTGATTTGCAAAAAGCACTCGATCATTCAAAGCACATCTTTTGGGGAAGATATAAAATTTTAAACCAACTAAACAGATCAAAATGTTACAATGACGATCGATTTGAGGGTGGTTAAAAAATTGCAAATGGCTGAAATTCATCGAAGAATCGTTTTGGAGAACGAGGGAAGAGCAGATTTAATCGTGGCCAATAATCATTTTAGCTCCATCGAATGAATGAATAAGAGGTACTAATTTAGTGGTTTGGAGCTTTCTAACGATTTCAGAGATTAATATAAATTTCTGAATTCTCAGAGATCTTCCCATGAGAATAATTGATTTGTCAGCCTTAGTGATTGGAGTCATTTTTTCTATTCTCAGGTGCGAAATATCAAATGAATTCTTTATTTAAAAATTTAGACACTTAGCCTCATCGGACATTTCTAGTCTTAACTGCGCTTAGTTTGCTTGTCATCGGTTTTTTTTCTTTATCTCTGTATCGCTTTGTTTCTCAATTACTTGTCGTCTGATTAGAAATGTTGGACGCGAAACGCTCAATGTTTTGCATCGTTTCATTTCTAACGCTAAGTTCTAAATTAGGACTGTTTTGAACACATTCCAGTCCAACTAATTTTGTTAGGATAATAAACATCATAAAAAGTAAATGATCAACTGATGCACTTATATCTTCAGATTTGAATTGCTTAAGTTCCACTTTTGAACACTAAATTTCGAGTCTTAATGGCTGTTAAAAACTTATCGTACGACTGTGTCGATGCTTGGAAAAATAAAACACAAAAGGATGCTGTTCGAATTTACTGGTAAAATGCATCGAAATATACCGTTTCGGTTATGTTATGAGTTTACTTGCTTGTAATCAACGAACGTTGTAGCGTAAGACTCCAGAGATTGACAAAATTTTTGAAACTGATCAACTTAAGTGAAATAAGAGAATCAAATGAAAAGATTCGCTAGTGAATTATTAAATTACTTTTAAATTAAGGATCGGCAATTACTATGACAACGAAGTGTACGACGAAACAGAATTAACAGCCGAAACGGTGGATATTTTGGTGAATAAATGTGCCAATATATTTAAAGGGCTTCGGTTGGAGGATAAGCCAATAGTATTGTATCTGCCCAATGTTCTACAACTTCCTATTGCTATATTGGCTGCACTTCGAATAGGACTAACCGTTCTGCCTATTGTAAGCACTTAAACAGTTAATTAGTGGTGATCAGCATACGTAACGAATCATTTTGATAAGTGCTACTGAAAACGTGGCAATATAAGAGATATAGCAGACGACAAGTATCAATTATAGTCGGAGATTAGTGTCTAAATAAATCACGTTTCAAAGACACGTCTGTCGTTGAAATAACAATTTCAAATTACTGATCTTGTGAAATGTCTCGATAAATGACAATATTTCACTTTGTAATTTTTTAAATCATCTTATACCATTATATCATCCAGACTGCCACAAACGAAGATGTCGATTGTTTGCATGATATAGTGAAAAGTAGCGGTGCTGACACAGTGGTGACAGTTGATGGTTTCTGGATGGGTACCCGACTGATCAGGACTAAAGAGCTTCTGGATGCAGCAATTACCGATATTGTATATTTTATGTCAACCATAAAGACGCATGAAAGTAGTTAGAATAGTAACTTTGAGGACAACTTAGCCAAAAGAGTAATAATTACTTTAAGGATTATTCGCGAGCGAAACCACGTTTATCATTGGCTCAGAATATAGATAAAGCAAATGGAAATCGTGTTACAAAGCAATGTTTTCACTTTCATTTTCAATTATCATATAATCTAAACCACTTTCTCTATCCCCAATATGCTACAGGCAATACAACGTGTAATTGTCATACGACATGTAAGCCCAGACGAAGGAATACCACCACCACAAGTGAATTTGATTGGTAGACGACCTTACTACATGTACAAGGTATGATACCTACAAAAGGGGAATTGGCATTCAGTGGAACACTATACTTGTTGTCGACTTTATCTCTTTTGAATCACAGGAGATCTGGCAAGAAATATCTCTCTCGATAACTCACTTTTATGATATTAATATATTGTAGGTTGCAATGAAACAAACACGGGATTTGTGGTGGAGCGGATTCTTCCAGAAAGTATCCAGTTCTTGCAAGCCGGATGCGATTTCCAGCGAATCTATCACATTACTCTTACCAACTAGGTATCTTAATACTGGAAAACAAAACACTAACGATATCAACGCATCTTTAAAATAATAGTACTGCTGAAAGAATAATTTCACCTTTGATAGTTGTTTCTTCTGCCCTCCACCTGTTAAAAAAATCTTTGAAAGTGTTAAAAATATTAACTGCAGAAGTGCTTCTTTCACTGTGCCGTTACTACCCATATCGTTGAAAATGCTTCAAATGGAAATCAGTCACGTTCAAACCGCTATACATCCGGATGAACCAAGCCTAATCATCAGTACAACAAATATTTTCCACCAGATAACTTGTATTCTGGCAGTACTGAAAGCGGGCGCCGTACCGCTCATTGTAAGTTTATAATTAAAGCATAAAAGTAAATAATCTGTCCTGCAAACATCTTCTGGGAGCCGGATAAATTTGAGTTAAATTTTCAGTATGAAAGCGACATTAAGTATCCCGACCCTTCGCGAACTTCACAAATCATATACACTTACAAGGTTAGTTCGCTAAATTTAGTCTGTTATTGAGCTTTGGAAAAAACAAAAAACCTTAGTTGAAACAGAGTGCCAACGTATTATGCCACGTATCATGCTGTCTGCCACTAAAGTAACATCTTTCGCTAATCGATTTCGGAAACATGGTTGTCAAAATTAGATATTATTTTACCTGAAATTTCAGGTGGCAAAACTGTTGATAGCGGAAGAAGACCTCAATCTGTTGTTGGAAAACAAACAGTATATAACCTTCTGGGACTTGAAAACCCTCAGAGAAATCCTGGTCCTTGGAAGCAACAAATTATGTGAGCAAGCGAACAAGATTTTCGGTGTACTTTGCAAAAATATTGAATCAACACCAACCTAACAAAATGACATCCCATCAGAATTGTTAAACCTTCCAACTTTACAACCACATCCTTTTGTCTTTCTAATCATCTTCAACCAAATTTTTTAACCAATTAAAGATTTTGTGATGGTTAAATAAAATAGAAAGGATCACTGAACATCAACTAAATACCTTCAAGTCCATTAACATTATCTATCCCTAATTATACGCTGTCAATTCTAAGAAATGTGATAGACGTGCATTTCTTTGAACATCGAGAACCTAACTTTATAAGTATTGGCATAGTGAACCGCATGATACACCTACCAATGACGTGAATTTCAATAAAATATTGACAAATAAATGATAGGTATGCATATTTTCTAGTATTAGGGGCTAATTTTTTACAATCTTCAAAACCATTTTCCTATTAAGTCTAAGTAATTAATCTTCACAATGATAGCAAATTTCAAAACGCAAATAAAATACAGAAACCCATGCAAAGACAAAAAAGGCCCATTGCCTCGGAAAGAGCAAAACCAAGGATCGCATAAGAAAAAAGCTGATTTTTTGCGGATGGGTTTCGAGCGTAACCGATAACGAGTGAACCGAAAACGTTGCCGATACCTGCACCGGAACCGGCTACACCAACTGTTGCAGCACCAGCTCCAACATACTTCGCTGCACTATCAATGTCACGCTGAATCGCTGACGTTTGCAAACTACGAACTAATCCTGCGTTATTCGCGCGAAACAACATTGGTAACATCTGCAATTACTCATTCGACTTCACTAAAAAACGTTTCGTTTATTTCCCAGTTAGAATATTTCACTTGTCTGAGTAAAAGTTGCCAACAATGAAAATTCTAATTCTTCTATACAATCCGGAAATAATAACATCTGTTGACTCTCGATCATTTACTGCGGCCAAATTACCACGCAGTAAACGTAAGGGGTAGTTATTGATTTCCAAATGTATTTTTCTAAAACTTGTAAAGCTGGATTAAAGTTAACCTACCGAAATACGAGCTACGGGAATTGAAAGTCGCTGGCAGTACATGCTGAAGAATCTTGTTGAATTTTCTGAAACTCAATTAAAATAAAAAATCTCTGAGGGTTAGGTATAACGAATGAGAAATGATAGTACGAATAACGGCGATACTTTGATAAATTTTTTACCATATTACACAAAAAATCCAAGTCAAAATATCCTAAGAAGAGGTACAATCGGAGCTTATTTGGATGAAAAGGAGGAGAGGAAAGAGCCCCATACATCTCGAAGGTATTTTTGCACATACAGCTAACTTCGCGCATATTCTAGGATGGGTGCGTAGTGATGGGAAGACTTTAGGAAGGGTGATGAGCACATTCCAGGTTGAGCAAGGAACACATTTCAGGATGAATGCAGTTACACTAAAAAATGGATAGATACGCACTCTGGGTTAGTGAATTAATAAAGCAAACGGACGGTACAAAGACCTTACTCCAGGAAGTAATCCAAGGCTTGCCACCGCATCACACCTACTACCTAGCTATTGTAACCGAAACTTGGACGTTCCCCAACTTCTTCACAAGGTTTGATGGACCGTCTTTTCTTGTTAAATGTAGTTCATTTAGTGAGACTCAGGTTTCATATTGTCTGTCGTTTTGATGGGAAAATTAGGGGTTGGAGCGTGTTGCATTAGCTTTATTGTCGTGTGGGAGTGTAGTGCAACTCTTTTATAGGCTTGCATTTCGAATTTCAATTTTAGGGAATTTACTAATTTTTGATTTTTGTTAATAAATGAGTCATTGTGAGTCATAAAATGAGACCAAAATCGTGTTTTTGGTTGGACTTGCTAATGCTGAATAATTTGCGAGCAGCGTGACAGCGAATTACATTTAACAAACAGCTGCCTCAGCTCAATTTAAAAGAAACTATAGTTAATCAATTTTAGAAATAGTATCAAAAATGGATACAGTACCATTGGATGAAGTTTCCACATATTTCTCACATCCCGAGCAGATGTTTCCGGAGATCGAGGATGACAAAGTTCCAACCGAACAATTCCTTAGAGCCTGTCAAGGCATTGCTGATTTTGTAGGTAAACTTGGGATTCCTAGTCTTTAAATATTATTTTTCCATTCCGCTGCGTCCTTCTGGCACTTCAAATTTTATCCTGTAAAACTTAACATTACCAATATCTTTAACACGAATTAATTGCTATTAATTGCCCTATGATCGGTAATTGGTCATTGAAATTGCTATTTCAAGGACATTATTTCAGGTTTTCTAGGAACAGCATTTATTCCAATCAAAAATGATATCAGCGGTAACATTATCAAGATTAAAACAAAGTATGAGAGTGGGAAAGACAAATACAAGTATATCGAGGATCTGGTTGAAGACGATCTTATTAAAAACAACGGAAAAATGGGCATAGCTACCGAAGGACTGTTATGGTTGAAAAGGTCCGGTTAGTTTTTTTTCAGATTGATACAAGAATGCATCTTGGTTCAGCGTATTTTAAGCTTTTCAACAGTTGTGGATTCCTTTTCAACTACAAAAAACGTGTCTCGTTTTGTATATGATGCTATAGCGCAGTATAAGCTTTAGGAGTATATACTTGATTTTCTCATAAAATTTGTATGGAACGATAATGAAATATGGATTACGCTATGAGAAAATAGGTTGTTCTATAGTTCTACGTTCTTGGGAAAGAAAGAATTTTGATCGTTCAGTTAAATACTTTATTATTACAGTACTGTATTGATTTTTAGAGGATTAGAATTCATGCTTGAATTTTTGTCGGAAATGGTGCAGGTGTACCAATCGTCGATAGATAAAGAAAAAACCGACAGTTTAACGGGTTCTATTAAAAACGCTTATAATAATACTCTCAAAAGACATCACGGGTTCATATCAAAGCAATTATTTAAGGTAAAGTTGCGATTTGGGACTTTGGCTTCCTACTCTCTTATCTCTTTCAATGGTAATGACAAATCAATTCAGAACTGATAATACTGTTGTTCCTTATGATTCTACATTAATGACACTGTTTTAATCATTTACATCATTTCATGCAATCTCAGGTCGTTATTTTGGCAGCCCCAACTCGGAGTACCATTTTGAAAGCACTTGCCGAAGGCGGGGAAGGTGTGGATGATATATGTATTGATCATATTGCAACACACCTCGATAACTTCAGGACCAATGTAACTCATATTGTTAATTATTATATCATCAAAAAACTAGACACTCCGAATCCACTGCTAAGAAATTTAGTGACATCCCAAGTTGACAGTTGAATATATTACATACACCCTAATTCTAATATGAATTAAATGTATTGAACCTAATATATGAAACTGCAGTGCAATATCGATACTCGATGTTTTGTTCCATGTGCAGTTAAGTAATCATTTTGCCAGTGGTTTTTCTTTATCATTTGTTTGTGACATTTAAGAATTGTAATGTTAGCAACCCAGTTGTTTTCTGCGATAAGTATTAGTTACAGTCATCACAATCTGCTCATTAAGTTCCAGTGCTTGAAGCTATTATTTGACTCCGACATCAGCAAAATCCATTGCTAATGGCTTGCTGTTACCACATCTGCCAATTCTTTATTTTTACAATTCCACATACGGTCTGGTCAACAAACCAAAAAGAATCGAAAGTAATTCTAATAAGTATGATTGGAAAACTCCCGAATCCAAAGCAGTTGTAGTGAGTAGATCCGATATCGAAAGAATTAATGCGGAATTAGAGATATTTGCCAAGAAACACCAATCAATCCAGTGCCTGATCAATCAACAAAGGAATCTCTCTGAGAAGAAATAGTTCTACAAGGAGAAAAATTGGCCAGACAATTGGAAAACCAATCGGTAAAGCTATTGAATTATAGATGAATTATCAGAAGTTACAAAATATTGGAAATTGATCACTATGGTGTAGTTATTTCTGTAATATCAATCATGCTATTTGTCACCAAATTATAATTTAAATCAACTTCTTCCATTTTTCATGCAATAGACCTTTAAACCGAAGGAAAAACATTCGTGGAAGTAATACAAGTGCTTTCCCTAAAAATTGAGAGGAAAAATTTATCTAGCGAACAAAATACCTTCGCTGTACTCCTATTATTCCTACTATTAAAGATCTTGATCTTCTCCCCTCGAAAATATTGGGAAAACTGAAATAATTTGTAATACAATTTCTGTATCTAGATGAAGTATTTGCATTCTAGAAATTTGTTCTGTTTTTATCACTGATCAATTCATATGTAAATTCTTCCAGATTAAATTTTATGTCTTGAGCACTGGCAAACCTACATCTTGAATATTTGCTAAATTAATTCACGTGTAAATCCTTCCATTCTAAGTTTATATTCAATGGTTAAATTGTTATCAATGTAAAATAACTCTTTTGACAACAATCTATTTTTGTATCCAATAGGATTATTTTTACCACAATATGCCTTTGCAAATCACCCATATATAAGAAATTGGAATTCAGTATATAAGGAATTAGAAATTTACTGGGGCTCTTTTTCCTCTTTTTGTTTCTATTATTTACTACTGCGCGATTACTTCTTATCGACTCTCTACGGAGAACCTTCGCTTCGACAGCTTAACAACTGTGCTCTTCTAAACTGGGACTCAACCAACTCCTTACTAATTCCTATTCAAACTTTGAAATGATTACTTCACTACTGACATCATCATCTATTGACACTATAATTATCATATAACATTACCATAATCTTCCACAAAGAATAAATCTTTACAGTAACCTTTGTCTGCGAAACAACAAACTATTCGAATCACGACACTTGTGCATCATGTCAGCTATTCGCTTAATATCATGACCCGTTCGTCAACAAAAAATAGTTATTTAGTTCGTTGAGAATAGTAGTCGCATGTTGATAAGTAGCAGTTAGTTATTTCGCTTTATATCTTTCTTGAATAACGCTGTATTGGATTTTCTCTTTCCCAAACGTTTCATTTTCCCAGATGGACCTGCAGGTGGTGAACTTGGTTGCGACAGTTCTTCAACAGCTTTCAATTCTTTCATGAAGTTGAATGAGATTTTTGCACTAATCTGCAAGCCAACAATAAATAGAAAGTTAAGTGAAAACCACGAACTAAAAGGCGCTTATTATAATTGATAAAGGACTCACCCAAATCAATTCTCAAATTAGCTCAATAGTAGAAAAGAAATTACCTGATGCATGCATTCAATGATACTATTTATGGCCTTGTTTTGCTCACGTATCACACGATCCTGTTCAGCGATTATTCGTTCATGCTGCTTAACTTTCTCATCAATCTTCCTTTTCCACTGGTTCATCTTTGCAAGATCACCGAAACTGTGCGTAACTGGACTGTTGCTACTTTTGCCTATTACGATATTCGAAGAGGATGTACTGCAGAACGGACGAACGCTAAATGAAACTCCTTAATTCATTCAACGAAGAGGGATACAAAAAAACGACTAAATTAAAACTAAATTTGTATACAAGACGTATCTGAGATGAGATAATACGGTAATCTTAGTGGAAATACCTGTCACTCAACGCTGCGGAAGAAAAACTATTAGGCAATGATTCCAATGAATATCGAGAATGGGAACGACAAAGAAGGCTCAAAGGATCTCGAATACGTAGAGCTGGTGCAATTTGTTCTTCGAAATATTCCATTGCCATACTAAAAATTTGAAATAATGAGACAAGACTAATCACTATTCACTAATAGTGATGACAGAAATGGAAATACAACGAGTACTTTTATATTCTTGTCAATGATCACAATTTTCTCACCCTAATTGATTTACTTTAACAAAATGAACCTCGAATAATCTCGAATGTCTCTTAAAGATTCTTGCGTTTCCGGTGGTTGCACTCTCCGTTTAATACAACTGTCCAGCATACGCAGCACGGAGAAACCTTCATCCAATACCTGCATAAATTAAACATAATAATCCAGTACAAATCGCATGGAGTGAAAAGCATATTTTAAATTATTTTATAAATGGAGTGTTTAAATTTACTTGACTTATAGATGGATCCATCTGATCTATACTATTTGTTATGAATTGCAGTTTAAAAAAAAGCGGAAATTCAGGGGTCTATCCTTACCTACTGTCTATTACCTTACCTTGCCAGCTATGAAGCAACAAGAATCATTATCGATATACTTCCTGAATGTCATCGAAAGCAATGCATAACGCGTTTCCAACGCTGAATAAACTTCACTGACACGCGATAAGGTATGTAGCCTTAAACATAAAAGATTATATTGCTTCCATAAAAATGAACGCTTGTCATTTCACTTTACCTCAAGGGAGAGCTTTATATTCTGGAACAAAGATGGTAAATGGTAAACATATCGTAAACTACCAAATATTAGAGACAAGATCTTTAATATCCCTCATCATCAGATAAGATCTTAGAAATATGCAACGATACGTCGAATATTGGATATTTTCACAGCAAATCCGTTAAACAACTGTAATGTACTTCACTACAATGAATAAGATTTTCTACATAAAAATGCGTTATTATATGTAGTAGACTTTATCATTAAAGATGTAACGGAAAAAATATCAACTACGCTTACTTCTCTAATGCTGCCTTATCCACATAAGACCTTTCACGAATTATTATTATCTATAGGCATGGAAAGTTTGCAATCATAAAAAAGAAACACATATGAAGAATTATTCTTTAACATTACTCTTCTGATCCTGCACAGATGAAGAATAGAATGTACTTTAATTACTAATGCATTTTATAATTTACCATTCGTACTTCATATGGCTAAATCATTAAAACGAATTTTTATTCTGAACAACAATGGCGGCAATAAAAAATCAGTTACTGGAGAATGACAAAAAGTAGTACCTTCGTTGAGATTCTCTTTTTGGTAACATCTTTTTCATTCGGTTCATTGCCTTATCAAGCTGTTCGCCAAGCCGAAAAAATGAAGTGTTTAGAATAGAGCGTGCCACTACGTCGAAATTTTTGGAAACCTAAATTAAAAGGATTTGAACTGAAAAAATACTTCAACTTCATCGCATTCTTCCATGAAATGAGACATGTTTGGGTTCACCGTTCACTTCTACTACCGATTGCAACTCACTTAGTTTACGATCAACTCACTTAGTTTACGATTATATCAGATCAAGTTCGGAAAATCGAAAATAAGTTGACTAACCGCTCTCAATAAACTGATATCGTCGTAGGAAAGACAGTTCATGATGTAAGTGATAATCTCCACCGGAAGTGCATCAAAAGTGGCACGTATCGTCATGCTACTGCATCTTAATCTTGTCGATGTGCTTGCCATATATATGATACACCTTAAAATTTAAACTTCTGCAAGCAAGAAGATACAATCAAGAAAGTTCCCAGGAAATTTCGGTCATACTGTGTCACCATTCCGACCGTATATTTCATCCTCTCACCTTGATTGGTTAAATAATGCAGCAGAGATATAAAAGTCTGCAATGACGAATACAGAAATCCTCTCCATAATGATATCAGCAATTTATTAAAGGAGCAACATAACGATGGACAAAACCGGAATGTAAACCTTTTAAAAGACACAATTTTACAATTCAGTTCCACACGTCGAATCCCGCTCTGCATAATGTACCTGCCCGTTTTTTTATCCCACTGATATATGCTCGTCCTATCTCTCTACTCTCATTACTTCCGGCAGAATAATTCTGGACACTAGTGGAATGGGATCCAGATTCATTTTGCGATAGCTGGAATAGTAGCGAATGTACCATTTCCATTATCCATGCAAGTGTGTTCCGCTTGGTTGGGGTGGTGTTTTCATATCATACATTACATAGATTAATTTCAGAAGACTGTGCTACATATGGTGTGATCGTTATGTGGCATCAATTCTTGAGGTATGTCGGTCAAATAGTTTTATTTCAGCGATACTTTTTCTAGTTTGTGCGTTTCATTCATAGTATGAGTCGCATGTAACTCATTACGTGTTATGTATCACTGTAACTGACTCTTTATACGAAGATAATATTATCAATTCAGTGTAGAACATTTTATTACCTACATACTTTTTGGGAAAGATATTGCGGTATATGTAAATCGTCGGAGATACGGACAAGGCCACTTGTCAATTAAAAGTGTTAGTCAGACCTTTTAGTTATTGGAGGCATAAGTAGATCTATACCTACTGAATGCATGAGTTAGAATGATTATTCACTGAAAGTGATGATCAATCCATTATCTGACTATTTAAGCATATGAGGAATCCGTCACATAAATTGAAAAGGAAAGCATGAAGTTAATCTTTTGGTATAAGAGGAAGAAGCACTACACTTACCTTCGAAGATTGAAAAAATATGACGCATTTTCAGGCAATATTTAAATCAAGAACATGTGATTCAGAAGGTATGCATTTTAACCGTTAAGGCGAAATACATTTTAATGGTTTTGTTACTTACCCCAATCTTTTTTGCGTCCTCACACATTATGAACTGTTATGAACGATTTTACTTTAGGAGGTGCTATTGGCTGTCGTACCATTCACCTGTTTATTTTCCTGGGTATATAAAATGATTAGGTTTAACGGCTTAAATCCTCAGGTAGAAGTCATTGCTGGCACGTGAGATTAGAAGAACCCACTTCCTAATATTCATATCGGAATTGTTCCTCGCCATGTGCCACATATCAACCGAATTGTTAAATTGCAATCTAGAAGTGCAAATTAAAAATTCCAGTACGTATTATGAGGTCGGGATGAAATAAGAGAAGGAGAAAGGCTGCTAAAATGGCAGGTTTACGTATTTAGCTAGAAAAGGACAAGAATTGACACAATAAGACAAAATAAAATTAAATAGAATTTGGATAGGAAGGTCTGCTTTAGTTTTCTATCTGTTTCGATCTCGTACATTCCACATAATTTTCTGTTGCAGTTAGCAGATTCAAAGATAATTCGCTCAACAGCACGTTTTTTTGTCTCAGCGATATATAGTATGCACCTAACGATCTTTCGAGATTTTTGGAAACGAATTGAGTTTTTCTCGAAGACATTCGGTGAAGAATTCAAAAAATCACTGACACAGAAGAAGTAATTTCATTTATTTGCACATATAAAATTAGAATACAATAATATTATATTAATCACAAACTATGTATTTTGTTAACTGTAAGCATTAAAAATCATGTGGTTTCTACAATATCATCGTTTCCCTTTTGTAATTTTTTGCTACGATATCGTTAGCTGAAGTTTATACGGTGTATCGTACAAAAAAGTGTATCACCTTTCTGTAGTAGAACTTTGCTTAATGCAATGTAAAGCAGCCCAACTACATAATTCATCATGAAGCAGTAATAAAAGTAGTCACTTAATTTCTGAATAATTATTGTTAATTTTTTTAAATTAGTACTTCAGCACTTTGGGTTTTGAAAAGAAAAATTATTGTTAGTATTAGATAAACGGTCTTCTTTTCATCCCTCCTACACATTATTTATAAGTCGAGAAGAACAGCTTGGGATTATTCAGGTCTTAAATTTAACAAATTTATTAAGTTATCGTCTGTTTCGGCGTAACTTCTATCCAATTACAGCATACTTTTCTCATGAATCTGTTTTTACTGAATTCATATACTTGCCAATTTGTTATAGTTGAAGCTCAGGAATCCTAACTCAGATCATGAAATAAGGCAACAAACAACAAACATGGTCAAAGATTGCACTTCAAGATACATAAAAAGTAAATTTCATCGAAACTTAATATGACGCATTTGAGAATAAAGCTCGTTTGGTAAATGACTAACTATCCAGGGCTGAGCAACACAAGCGAACGCATATCATCCAATAAGATTAATGTACTTTCGTCGTCCTTCATTCTGCGAATCTTTCGGGAAGTTTGTAATTTTTAAAGAGATCAGTAAAAAAGTGTTAAAGTGACTCAACGCTGGTTAAATAATTGGACTCTGATGGTCGTTTGATGTCTTGCGAGCTAACACGTTTTGTTCTGGGTTTTTGTTGTAAGCAAGAATTTGGTCGTATGGATGATACTGGAAATGTAGATGAAATGAGGTCGGATGAAACCGCCAACACGGATGAAGTATCGCGATCCACTGATGTGATATTTTTGGTAGGTATCGACGAGAAGTGAATTGATGTAAGCCCAGAGCAGAGTGTATTTGAGCTGAGTGTGGCTTTGAATTTTTGTGATTCGAGCGGCTGTATGATTTGTGATAAAGAACGTGAACGGAAATGTGCTACGTTTACGACATGAGAAACGGTCGATGAAGGCCTCCGAATTTTCCATGAGATCTGACTCTTTGCATTCTTTTCTTGTGTAGAATTCGCTGCAAAATGAACTGCGTATTAAATTGTGAAATTAGATACTGACCATTATAACTGGAAGAAAAATAGCTTTCTAAAGTATCGCTTCATTTAGCTTACAGGAGTTTACAAAATTCACGCATGGTACAAAAGTGGAAGGTATTGTTTGAATTTTGAGCAATCGAAGTAATAAAAATAATATGAAAAAGCGCCCTAAAAATAAAGAATAAGGGAGTTCGGAGAAACTGGTCATACTTTTTGTTGAAGAAGATGCACTTTGTACTGTCAGAGGCGTTAGTGGAAATGCATTCGCATTAGAGTAGTGCATCACCTGAAATGCTATCAGCAGTTATTGATGGAAGTGATAGTATCTAAATATCCTTTACAATATCTATGTGAACATTTTATCATAACTATTGGATGCATAAGTGTCAGATGCAAATCTGAATGGTAAAAGGATAGAGCAGAACGACCTAAAGAATAATAGTAAAAATTATTAGAATGTCCAGTATGGCACATACTTTACGCTATCTCCCTCATTATAATTACATATCAACTTGTTAAGATGGTATGTCTCGAAGTGGCTTCGAATTGTGTCATCAAATATATTTTAACATCAGTCTAGTAGTAAATTAATTTTTAAATTTGGATTTTATAAGCTTATGAGGAATTTTTCTTAGATTTAAAGTATTACAAATGTTGTTCTGTTCTGGATGCTGTTTACCTGAACAAGTTGCGGTAAAATTGGCGTATTTGATGGATCTTGCACTTCGGGATGTCCAGCATCAGATCCGGTTAAAGAGTGGACATCGACGCTTAACATATCTCCATCCCTTGGCGACTGATGAACGCTTTCCCTCTGTGTGTTGTTGGGTGTACGTTGACCTACTGATACACAGTATCCGAAAGCCTGAAATGGATCAGACATGTATTCGGCTTATATCCCATATTTAATCATATCTTGTAACATTGCTGATACAATCAATCTATCTCAAGAAGGACTAAAAATACCTTTAGGATGTCGTTTTTACACATTGGACAAGTTCTGTGTTCCAGAAGCCATGGATCAACACAAGTTTTATGGAATATGTGCCTGAAATTCTTCATCTTTTTTAGTGTAAATTCAGAAAAATCAAGAAGTCTTCTTCACTCGTATGTTATGTAAATTTCAACTCATTGTGTATAAAACGAAGATTTAAATGTCAAAATTTGTTGATTCAGAAAATATTTTAGTTCGAAGAGAAACCAATGTATAGAGCACTTTACCTACACGGAAGCGAACGAATAATATCACCGGCTCTATATGGATCAATGCAAACTGGACAATCGGTATCGAGCTCCTTATCTCCAACTCGAATAAGTCTTGTTGGAATACGCGTTAGTGCTTTTTTAGCTGCATTGAATAATCGCCGTTGAAGACGATCTTTAGCATGCGCATAACGGAATCTACAATAGATAGTTTACGGATTTCTCGGCTGAAGAATGGCTAAGCCGATCGATAAGCAAAAAAGGCATTAAGTGTGAAGGATTCTGATACTCAAACTCATCGAATTAATAAGACTAAATGCAAATTGAATAAAAATATTCACGATAAAACTTCGGAAATGTTTTTAAAAAAAATTCAGGAAATGAATGGTACCACTAAGTTTAAAACGATATAATACTTTTACTTAATGTGGTAATAATAGAATTGGATGATCTTACCTATTAAAGAATCTCAATCTTCCTATCAATGAAAGATTAAGGCTCTTTCCAAATCTTCCTATCAGTTAGATTGCTAAGAAATATATTACTGTAAGCTGCATTTTATGATATAAATCGAGAATCTAATTTCATTCGTCATTTGAAATAAATCATTTTAAAATGGTAAAGACTAGAAATAGTTTGATTAAAGAAGAAGAAATCAAAGGGAAACCTCACCTTTGTACATAATAAAAGACGAGCCAAGCAAGCGAAATGACCATTAAAATGATGAATGAAATAGAAACAAAAAGAACGGAAGTTTTCGAAAAACTGCGTAAAGCATCTCCGTCACTTGCATCAATAATTTGACAATCATCCAGGGCGATCGGTGTTTCCTCTTCGATAAATGCAAAATGGATCTTCTTCTCGTCGTCGATTTTGTTCACTTGTCGATGGCTGACGCCACGAATGACAACAATCAACGAAATTTCTATATCTTTTAGCATCCGTTTCAAGTATAGATAGATGCTGCTCAAACCAGTTGGACATTCCGTACAATTCCCGCAAATTGTTATTATTTGCTGCAAATTGATTCGTCAGGAAAGACTTGATTTAAAATTTTACCGCCATATTCTTAATAATAATGACTGGGTAAAGTCGGGAGCATATCGAGATAAAGCTTCATGAAAGTTCATACAAGTTAAGCAGACATTCTACTGCTGTGGATATGATGTATGTATTTGGTCAGGGCAATAACATTCACTAATTCAATCAGTTCGAAATGAAACAAGTCAACTTTTGTGGTTTGCAGTGATTGTAGACGTGACAATTCTATTTAATTTGTAGAAATCGCATTCAAGAAAAGTGGATTTGAAACGAACCTGATAACTGGTGAAGGAATAGGAGGGATTTGGTCTTGCAGTAGTAGTAACCATGCGACATATATCACCATTTACAATTTGATCCAATGGCATGTAAATTAAGCGACCAATTGGTAGGGGATTCGATCGGAATGGTGGATCGAATGATAATTTATTGAATGTTGCTGAACCACACTGCAGCGACTGATGTTGCAGATGCTGCAACTGATATTTGCTTACAATTTTCGATGAAAATTTAAAATATGAAAAAATTTCCAACCTTTGAAGAACACTTTATATGCTGTAAGTGCTAATTAATACCAACTCTTATTGTTTTAAAATACTAGATTTTCTTGATTAGATTCTTTTGGTTTATAACTCTCGTAAAGCGTCTTGCTTTGTTATTTGCTGTTTCCTTTTCAATCCTAGTACTTCTTAATTTATTTCTTTTTCGAATATTGATTCAGCTTACTTCGATTAATCTATTTTTCAATCTGGAAAATTTTAATGTTTTGGACTCGCAACGATGAGTTAAGAAGTGCTTCAAGATGCTTTTTTGGAGATGCCAATGATTCAGGAATGGTTTTAATTCAGATTGTAAACCCTTTTTAAAAAATGCTTGTGAAGATAGCTCTCAATTAAGTTTTCTGCTGGAACATACATGCATGTAATCAGCAAGAATCAAAGTAACATGCAAATTCATTAATTGTTGGCTTTGTTAAATTCAAAGCAAGCTGATCTGAGGTCAACAAATGTCTAATGCGGCAACTTATAAATGCTGCTTAATCAAGATCATTCCAATCAATCTTATATGCCGTTCCTTTAAAACTCTCATTTCTCCGTAAAGTGGAAGAATTTTTGAAGAGGAAAAAGTGAGATTCATGATTTTATTAGAAAATGAAAAATTTTACATTTTTTGGCCATATTTTTGGTTGCTATTACTTAGTTATTTCTATATTAACTTATATAAACATTTCTAGCTGTAGCTTCCTGCTCTTTTCAAAATCTCTTAGCTACCCTAGGTTGACAACACAATGCGAAATATGTCGGAATGTGGTACCGATTTAAACGAACGTTGAAATACATCATTTTTCAACAGCTGATAACGGACAGATATCAAGATATCCTAGTACATCAGGTTTGCCATAATTCTCAATATCTCAATACTACGTAAATATAGATGCGGTACGATCAGTCCCTAAAATATTTTTTCCTATAATGTAAGATTTTACAACATTTTAAGAGTCTAAAATTTGAAATTATGTACTGAAGAAAATAATAGGAGTAATAGGAGAAAATAATAGAAAATAATAGTTGGAAGTTTATTAGTTATGTAAAAACATTCACTTAAGCTCAGCCGTATAAGCAAATCTCTCTGCCCAGTAGTCCATGCCAATTTCGGGCCTAAAACTACAGGAAAAGAGAATAGAGAGAAAGGGCATTTCATATTCTTTGCATGTACCAGTTGGATATGGTATATATAGTGCGGTAGAACAGAGGAGTGAATGATGAGTGCTACTCACTACAATGATGATGCTTCTTCCTAAAAGAATTTCTCTGAAGAAGGGAAAATATTCCGTCTAATCTTAGTCAGATTTATTTCGATCGTTAAACCAATTATGATTAAATTGGCTATTACAGCAACACAAGGAAGTATATTGTCGAAGTGAATAGAAATATAATATCGAAACATCTAAAAACGTCAACCATTCGCTATCAAGAACATGAATTTCCAATGATATGAAATGGCAGGGAAGAACTATGAAGATTATAAAACTTAGGATTCTGTTTTGGGTGGCACTTGACAAATTTGTAAAAAATTGTGACAAATAGTCAAGTGTAACAAGAATAGCGTTCAAAGAAAATATCGGTGAAAGAGGAAATCCTAAGATGATTGAAAAAGATATTAATAATGAACGAAGGAACCTTCGATTTTTCCTTCTATTCTCTCATACTTCTTCATTGCAATCATTCATAAATCTTTCCACAAGATATGGATTTCAAAATTTCATTTTTAAATAGCTTAATGTTCTATTTTAATGTATTAAATACAGTTTCTTCCCAGCGAACAAATTTCAAAGTGGAAATGAATAGTGTTCTTGTGATTAAAGGAGTTGAATAGAATGATGGTTTTGAGTTCTTCCGGGAAATTTTAAACAGATAAAATCGTATCAAATGAACTTTTTTCATTGATGATTGCAAGTTTTTGACCCAATTTGCTGATCGTTCTTACTCTTATCCTGCGGCAATCTGCACATCATGAAGAAAAAAAGAGTAACCTAATCTTTCGACATCAAGTCAAATACTCATGTCTTATAACCTACTACTTCTTATGTTAAATACTAGATCAAGGAACTACCAAACCAGCTTACCCTGTTGACCTTTTGACGCTGAAATAATCCATTGCCTTTTTTCATGCGTACAACAAAATTTGCACCTTTTTCTGACTTTAATCTAATCAAATCAATAATAGTGTTATGAACACACCTGGGCAATAGCCTGAAAGACATAAAGTACCAAGATACAGCAATGCTTTGTCATCCACTCCATTTAGTTAAATATTTATCTGCAAAGAGTATTATCAGTCTGAAATCAATGATCAGTGTAATCAGTCATCCGGCAAAGGAATGATTAGATAGAAGGATGGAAGGTTTCAGCTGTACAGGGATGAACGGAAAAGGGAAATGGCAGGTGTTCTATAATCTTGCAGATGCAATTGCTGCATAGGGTAGCTGTCAGGAAAATTCACTCAGATTTCAAATGAAACGATTGCTTAACTCATTTGAACTTCTAAGACGATCGATGGATTTATCCCAATGTTAAGTTTAATAAAACGTTAAGATTTACCTACATGAAAAGAAAGTTAAATAAGAAGTAAGGAAGTGTAAGAAATAAACGGGACTTTATTGATCAATAGTACATTATGAATTAGATTCTGTTACCTCGAATTACTCTCGAATAAGATTTTCTCAGAACGGAATAATAGTATCCAGGATATTCGACCAAGTGTTATAAGCAATATTATCATGATTAATTTCCATTATTTTTACATCCATTGGTTATAATGCTTGTGCTTCCATTCATCATCCCATCTTACAATCGATCCTTTTTATCATCATGGAATTGGATTAACCAGAATACCCGACATGTACAGGAAATTTAAATAATAACAGTTACAAAATACTATGTCCTGGAAACTTTTTTCTTTCTTTGAAGCCTGAAAAAGGTATTAGTTAAAGAAGTGACGCGAAAAGCCTATCCTCTCTGCACAGGCCTCTATCGATCGGATAAATATCCATCCATTCGTTCATTCATTCATTCATTCACCCATACATTTATATTACTACTCAGTGCATACACTGAAATGAATGATTTAACTAACACTGATTTACTTATCCTCGTCTAGTGCTGTGTGCATGTGTCTGTGTGTGTGCTTAGTTTACTTTCGATAAGTTAGCAAGTTGTTAAAGTCTTATTGGCAAAGTGTTTCTATTCTCGTAGAGATCGCATATTTCAGAGCCACTTCTGGATGATGAAGAACTTCTGGATGGATGATGAAGAACTTCTGAATGGATGATGAAGAACTTCTGGATGGATGATGAAGAACTTCTGGTGGGATGATGAAGAACTTCCGGATGGATGATGAAGAACTTCCGGATGGATGATGAAGAACTTCTGGATGGATGATGAAGAACTTCTGGATGGATGATGAAGATGAAATGAAGTGATTTCGAACGCAATCAACTTTTGGCATTTTCAATATCTTTAAAAAAACATTAAAAAATAAGAAAAATGCATGGCTTCATTTGAAGAATTGCTCTATTTAAATTAAAAATAGGTCATACCATTCTATTTACTCAATCATTCGATTGTTGCAAAATTCTGATATCAATTTGGGCAAAATTCAAACTTTGCTGCAATTGTAATTTTATGCGAAAAGAGTCAACTATATAACCTTAAAGGACAAAGAAGAAATCAACTATGACCTTAAACTTTCTTCGGCAATTGTAATAAAGCAGCAATACGAAATATAACATTTGAAAAACTTCAAATTTGAATAGTATTCTGAATAAATTATTAACCTCTACTAAATTAATTGTTCGAAAAGTGAGAAATTTTTAAAATTTTTAAAATTTTTAAAAACTGAAAATTTTTCCTAAATTAATTCAGAAACTCGAAATGGAGTTTTCATCGATACATGCAAACGGCAACAGTTGTCAGAATAGTGAGACAGATAATTCAGACAAACTCGGAAGATATCTCAAGACCTCAAATATGACTTCGAAGAAAAAAAAGTATAAATATAAAGACAGCTGAAGAGAACTATTTTACATAATGGCCTCCTTTGCTGTCCCGTTTATAAGGGCTGGCAGCGAGAAGAGGTGCAGGAGAGAAAGGTACAAGTACAACGGAGAGATGGATGAATAGAGGGAAGGATAGAACACAGCTGTTCTACCGATGCTATTTGTGAGTCAACTCTTTGTCGTCCATCTACCGATTTTTAAGCACAAATCTTCCGAAAAGTTCCTCGAGGCAACAATTTGATCATAACTCCCAAAGGATTCATCGATGATGGTCACTCTTTTTTGACTTAACAGATGCATGACTTTGAATTTATTTCTTCAGGATGCCACGATGTGGAGGACCTAGACACTTAGTCATCCGGTTCTCATCGAAATGTACCAATGGGTTCAATGAAGAAGTTAAGAGTTACTATTCATATCCCTGATGCTATATATTTATTATTCTTAATAGATGACATATTCTAGTATTTTAAAACAGGCCTGTTCAACTCCACCGTCTTCTATCCACAATATATCTATCCCGTTTCGTTTTCAGCCATATATCTTCTGTCGCTTACAGGGATATTCAGTTCTGAATGTGTGATAATGAATGGAGTCTGTAATAGACGAGGAATTGTGAAAAAATCTGTGGCCATGTTTCTTTAACTGACACAACGAGCAAAAGGAAACGTCCATTGATTCTTTGAATTAGAAAGGTATAACTAAGGGCAAGAAAAATAACAAAACAATTCAACTACGAGAGAAGCATGGAGTCTACTAAAAAGAAATGTGCCCAATATTTCTTGAAAGCCAGAAATCGATATTCCGCAAGCGTGCTTTCATTACCTGTACTTTCATTTCTCATTATAATTGAGAATAGTATAATTATTTACCTGTTTGAACAATCATTGAATACCGAATTTGACCCTGTTTATCCTTGCATAACCCCATGAAACATAGACGAAACAAATACAACAGGATGTCAATTGTGCAGAAAATGTTAAATAAAATGAAATTTCAGAAAATCAAAAAATGATAGCATTAAATTATCAAAAAAGAAAATCTCATTCGTCTCCTAATAGTAATGGTAGTCATCGGAAATTTGTTTTTAATTATTTGTGACGAATTATCTTATCGCAATCCGGAAGTATTTTATATGTATATGTTTAACAAAAATGTATATGTTTAGATATATTTGGCATTTGAATTCTTAAAGATAAAATAAACATTGAATGGAAGAAGAATTGTGATATAACGAAGTATAATAGATGTTTACCAAATAAAATGCTTATTTAAAAAAGCTTAAATAAACGAAAAAGTATTTTTTTAATCATTGCAAAAATGAATAGTTTTTTGTTCCGTTCAATAAGCACATCTTGCAATTGTAATAGTATTAGCAAAAAGCTTTTTCGTATTTGTT